AGGAGGCGCCAGGCGTGTGGTGTGTACCCACCTCCCTGGGCTCCCGGGCCGCCCACCCCAGGAGGCGCCAGGCGTGTGGTGTGTACCCACCTCCCTGGGCTCCCGGGCAGCCCTTCCGGCTCAGGAGGTCCTCCACGGAGTTCTCGAACACCAGGTGCATGTTCTGCAGCAGACCCTGTGGAAGTACACCGTGGGGCGGGTGAGCCAAGCCTGAGACCTCGCTGGAGGACAGCTCGCCTGCCGTGAGGCCGGCCAGCAGGGCGTCTGCTGCCCTGGCAGGTCCTGGGCACAGCACAAGACGCGGGAGTGGAGCCCGCAAACTAGAGCCAGGAGAGGAAAGGCCTGCGGGGAGCAGGAGGGTCTGGGGAGAGCGACCCTCGGCAGGCTAACTCACGGCAGAGCCCTCACAAGGGCCCGGGGCTTGGCAGTGTCCCCTGCCCAGGCAGGGACCCAGCTCGGGCCTGTGGGAGCCCTCACGCCAGGATGGGAGCCCCCCTGAGGTGCGCCTGGTCAGCCACCAGCCACGGCCAGGGTGTCCTGCGGGCAGGAGGGGTTCATGAGTAGCAAGCCGTGCATCTGCTACTCAAATGGCCAAGTTCTCACCCACATGTATGTCCAAGAATACGCGCTCGCCCGGGAGAGAGCAGCGTGCAGGTGTTCCTCCACTTACAGGTCAGTCGGGACCCGACAGACCCAGCGCCGGATGAAGACTTCACCAGTGGAAAGCACTCACACCCACCCACGGCCAGCACCACACACAGCGCAGCGCCCAGTGTCCCCTCCCGATCAGGGACCCTGGGAGCTGCAGCTCAGGGCTGCCCAGCCTCGTGAGAGGCTCCACCCCCACACTGCTCGAGGAGACCAGAACTGCCCGTCGGAAGTGCCCCTCCACTGCCTGGGCACGCGTCGCGGGCGTCCCTAAGTGGGACGCTCTGTGCTGACATCCTGCTGCGGGTTCCGAGGCTCGTGACTTAGCAGGCCCTGTCTGAGCCCACAGCTGCGGTGGGCAGGACCTGTCCTCTCGGAGCAGCAGCCCCCTTGGGAGGACGGCTGGTGGAGCGTCCTCACACCCTCTCATGGCCTAGGTGCATGCTGGGCTTTGGCTTCAGGCTCGAGCAACAAAGGTGGGGTTGCCAGGAGCAAGAGTGGCCAGGTCCCAGGTCTCAGACCAGCCTGTCTCCACCGCTGACCACTGGCGAGAAGCCCCTGTGGCCACAGGCTGTGCTCTGTGGCTCAGGAAGGTGTGTGCTGTGTCTGGAGTGCACCATGTGAGTTTTTCACAGTGCTCGTGTCCACGTTAGGTGGTGCATGTGCATGTTGAGCACGTGTTTGGGGCATGTGTGTGCACGCATGTGTAGCTCATACATGGCAATTGTGTGTGCAAGTGTGAGTGTGGTGCACATTTGTGATAGTACATGTATGTGTGTGAATCTGTGTTTCTCTCTGTGTGTACGTGTGTGTATGTGCGTGGGCATGTGTGTATGAGCATGTGAATCTCTGTGTTTCTGTGTGCATTGCTGTGTGTGTTCATGTGTGTCTATGTCATGTGTCTACATGTGTGCATGCATGTACGTGTGTGTACATGTGTATATGTGCATTGTGCTTGCACATGTGTGCTATTCACGTGTGTGACTTCGCACATGCACACATATGTGTACCGTGTACATGTGTGTTCACTTGTGTGTGCGTGTGTACATGTGTGTGCATGTGTCTGCGTGTGTACATGTGTGTGCATGTGTGTGCACACACGTATGGGAGCCAGCGTGTTCTGGTGAGACTGCCCTGCTTGACTGGGCAGGTGTGTGAGGAAGGGCCCATTTCTGGGTCCCAGGGGACGCAGCCCTGCATACGCACCCTGAAGTGGCTCTCGCGGGCGGCGCCTTTGGCCACGTACATCCGGCTCCTCTCGGCGCTCAGCTGCTCATAGAAGGGCTCGTCGAGGCTGAAGCTGTCGATGAGGTCGCAGCCCACGTACAGGCTGTAGGTCTCGCCGGCCACCTGCACAGTGATGTTCTTCCACTGCGAGTCGGCCAGGCCCACGTCCTCCAGGGAGACGGGGTGCGGGGTGCCCTCGGTCCAGTAGGTGAGGTCCAGGGTGTCCGCCGGGCCGTTGGACACGATCTCGAATTGCCGCTGCGAGGCGCCGGGGCCCTCCAGGGCCAGCAGCGTGCCGCGCGACTTGCGGTCCTGCTTCAGCTGGGCCGTGAGGAAGAAGCCCTCCTTGCGCCGCATGGTCCTGAGGATCCTGCTCAGGTCCTCGCTGTTCACCGGGGGGATGTAGTCGAAGCGGACGAACCGGTACGCGGGCACCCCGGGGTCAGGCCCGCGGAACTGCTTGGCACCGATCGTCTTCCGGTTTATGTTGCTGACGCTGAAGAGATCGAAGGAGGTGTCCTCCTCGTCTTGGTCGCCAGCTGCCGAGGGGAGGCACAGCAGGGGTTACTAACACAAGGTGGGCACCCCGGGCGGGATGGCAGAGCAGGGCGGCCAGGCAAGCTCACTGCGGGGCTGCTGCTCCCCTTTTGCACGAGAGCTCGGGGCTCCTCTGAGGAAGGCCACCACCCAGGCTGCGGTCCCCAGTGCTCCCGACAGCTGTGGGTAGCTATGTCCTTGGCTGGAACATCGTGGTGCCGCGGGTGGGCCTTGGCCACCAGGGCCATCCCATTCGGCCGCACACCCACAGCGGGGCTTCCTCAACCGAGGAGGTGGACTCTGGCAGGAGACCCCACCTTTTCCAGGCAGGACTTGGAGCCTCCCCCTCCTGTTGACCTCCCCAGGTGGGAGGCACAGGGAAGCCTCCTCGGAGCCCCCAGTGCCCAGGGGGGGAGCGCAGTGCAAAGCCAGGCTTGCAGGAACGGAGCAAAGGGGACACAGGCATGCGGTGTCCCCGGTGGGACCCTCCTCCTTGGACTCGCTGGCCATTCCCAGGGTTGTAAAATTGCATCCTCCCACACTGTGCTGAGGACCCAGACCTGTCGGGCCTCTGGCTGTGGTGAGTGGTTCCAAGTCACCGTCCAAGTGCGACAAAGGAGACTCAGCACACTTCCCCAAACGACAGCAGTTTGAATAGCTCAGAATAATGCACCAAATAAAATGCTTTAAAAGCTTTAAATAGTATGACGCTCTATCTTGGCACATTGAAGCACTATAACGTGCTGGTGCCCAGAGATGACCACGTGGATATGACCACGGTCAGTATGGCTCTTGGTAGGAATTAAGTTGATCAAAACCTTTGACTATTGCAATTAAAAGAGCAATTTATTTTTGTAACTTATGCAAAGGATATGATCACAAATGCTAGTGAAAGTTTATTCACAACGAATAAAATAACATCTAAAGGGGAATAGATCTCAAAGCATTAGGGCTTCTCTGATGGAATACTATGCAGTCATTAACAATCACGTTGTGAAAAAACAAACATGTGGTGAAATAGTTAAGATAACATCGTAGGCAGAAAGGAAATGGGAAGAAGACACAAAACACCAGCCCTCTGCACTGCTGAGCAGACAGCGTGTGGAAAACGAGCAGAGCTGAGCACAGCCAAACCCGCAGCCCCACTGGGTGGCATTTTATCTAATACCCAAGTTTTCCAAAAATGAACCCTTCCGTGTTGTATGGACTCAAAGGCAAGTAAAGGTTTCATTTGCAAAGCCAAACGCAGCCACTTCTGGATCTGCGCCGTGGCGGGGCCATGCCTCGCGAGCGACGCGGCTGGGTCCACTCACCGTGTGCGCTGGGCCACGCCCACAGGGCCAGCAGGGCCAGCCCCCAAAGCATCCTGCGTCCTGCTGCAGCTCCTAGGAGAAAAGCAGCCCTGGTTAGAGAGGGGCACAGCGGCCGCACGTCGCCGGAGGGGGTGCTCCTGTACCCTTAGCCACAGCTGCACGTAGACTCAGAGGCAGAGGGGTCCCCGCAGCCCACCGAGGCACAGAACGCTGTTCCGGTAGACTCTTCCCCCTGGGCGGACGTTAGTGGGCGGGCATGCTGGACCAGCACCCTGGTGGCGTTCTGAATATTCCCGTTATCTAACTCCCCAGGGGGCAAAATGGCCATAACTGCCCTGCCCTGCAGAGGGGCAGTGGACAGTGTCTGGTCGCTCGTGCTGAGTGGTTCTGCTGAGGAGACATGTCACCAAGACTCAGATTCTGAAGGTGGAAGTCCAGAAACACCCAGCCCGGTGCACATGTCTGCGGAGGCCTTGTCCCACCTCAGCTAACTGGCCCCTGAGGGGGAGTGCGGGCTGGGCGCAGCCTTCCCAGGGAGCACGGGAGGGTCACTGACGGGAGGGTCCTGGGAGCGGGTCTCAGCTACTCTCCTACTCTCCTGCAGGCTGTTTTTCCATTCTTGAGGGTTCTAAGTTGGCAGGGTGCAGCGGGGCTGGATCACAAGTCAGGAGACCTGGACGGAAGCCCAGCTCCACAGTTAACTCCTCGCGGGCCTCCGTGAGCCCTTCCGTCTGGGCTCCTCATCCCAGAGGTGGGTGATGCGGTCACTGGAGCCAAGTCCTTCCTAGAGTCCCCAGCCTGCTCCAGGTGGACGCTGACCCCTCCCTTATTTACAACACCAGACTCCCTTCTGGAAGTCACAGGAAACCAGCAGCCTCCTCTCCAGAACGTCTGGTGAGCCGGACTCAGCCACCTTCCTGGGAGGAGAGAGGTGGCCCAGAGGAAGGGGCTGCGTGAAGGGACCCCTTCCCACTGCGCTGTGCACGGGCAGTCACTGTCCGTTTCTGCCATCTCATCACAGGGGACCGTGGGCCAGAGCTCTGCCCCTCAGCTCAGCTCCTCCTGGCACTGGCTGCGCCCCGTGTCTTCATCTGCAGGTTGAAGCAGTCATCGCCAGCATCTGACTGGCTGGGCTGCTCTGAGAAGTCCCTCCAGCAGATGAGCATCTGTCCAGCACCTCGTAGCCAGCCCAGAAAGCCCAGTGAAGGACTCGCTCACTGTGCACCTGGACTCTTTCCCACCGTCGCCTCCGAGGTGGTGGTAGGAACAAGGAGATGTCCCGATCTGGGCCTTTCACAGAGTTCTTAGGGGACTAAGTTACAGGGGTAAACCCTTGCTGTGTACTCAGAACAGTACCCAGTTCACTGAGCACTCCAGAGATGCCAAGGGATCAGCAGTGCTAGGTGCCACGTCAGAAGGCTCTTCCCTGTCGCCCACCCTCTACAGGCAGGAGCCACCGACCCCTGTCCCTCTCTGTGAAGCCTGTTCTCTAGAAGGGCGGGCTGCAGGAAGGAGGGCTCCATCCCAGTGACAGCACAGCACACACGCCTCACGGCAGGCTCAGAAAGTGAGCTGGACGCTCAAAGCCAGCCTCAGCAAGAGCGAGGCGCCGGCCACTCAGTGAGGCCCTGCCTCTAAAAAAATACAGAACAGGGCTGGGGACGTGGCTCCGGGGTCGAATGCCCCAGAGTTCAAGCTCCGGCACCAAAGAGAAGAAAGAAAGTGAACTGAACTTTCTTTTGACAAAATCGACTCGTGTCCTAAGACGGCAGGCAGGGCTCAGCGCCAGCAGCTGGCGCTCCCTGCAGGACAGACCCTCTTCCCGTCGGTGCCTGCCGAACGGGCAAGTCGGTCGGTGCAGGTGGGCGGGCAGGGCACGCGTGCCGCGGGCCCCGGAGGCGCGTCACAGCTCCGTGGTGTCCTCCACCCCTCAGGTGCCCGTGCCAAGCGCTCATGCCGCTGTCTTCAGCCACAGAGTGCGGGTGAATGTTGGAGACCTTTGAGTGTCTGTGAGCACCCTCTTTGTACAAAGTGACAAGGAGCTTTGCAGGAGACGCTCCTGGGATCCCTCGGGAGTGGTCGCACATGAAACGCAGGGTCAGCTCAGCCCCGTCTGTGGGCGGCTGTCACTCCTGGCAGCAGCTGCACCCGGCCAGCTCTGTCCATGAGCAGCCCGTGCCCGAGCCCCCAAAGCCACAGCACCCCTCCCTGCGGCCTCTTCAGGACCACGGGGCGTCCCCTGGAGCACCAGCCCCGCTCAGCCGGCAGCGCTAGCCCAGGGTGTCCAAGACCGAGGACCCTGCTGGCGCTGCCGGCCCTGCCTGCCATTCCTCTCTCGCGCTCCCTCCTCCACGGCCAGAGTCGGAGCAGAAACTTCCTCCTCGGAAGAGGAAAGACGTGCAGCTCCTGGGGCAGGACCCACGTGCAAACCGCAGAGCCACGGGCCCGGAGCAGGGCCAGGCGGCCACCACCCCAGACTCCAGCCTCTGCTGCCCCATCCTCTCCCCTCTGGGATCAACAGCCTTTCTGCCTGTCACAGTCCAATGCGGTGACTTAAAAGTCAAAATAAGGTGCGTTACCTGGTGTGCTGTCACACTGGGGTGCTGACTGACCTCAGGGTTTCCGAGCAGGACCAGAAGGACGCGCCTTCCCCAGTGGAGACCCCGGGCTGCAGAGCACCGTGGTGGACGCTTCCCACTGCTCCGGGCAGCAAGCGCCTCCTTTATATGCTGCTTTTCCCGAGTAGCCCTGTCAATCAGACACGCGAGGAAGCACGTTTAATTCATTCCTTCGAAGGAGTGACACAGTTCCTCCTTCTGATCTCGCCATTTGCTCCCAGTACCTGCTGTCTGAGTCCAAGTCCAGCCCCTCTGTGCGGCTGCCGCCCTCCTCTTGTGTCCACCAGGGCCTCCAGACAGGGGACGGACGGGGAGGAGCCAGACGGAGAGGAGAGGGCAGGGACTCACTTTTCCTGTCTTCTCTCAGGAAATAAAATGCTATAAATAAAACTAGCAAGATTGGCTGGAACTCCCCATTTTGCTTAAGAGAAAAAAATGCAAGTTCTATGCTTTAAATATGTTTCAGATTACCCGATGGGATACCGTTCTTTCCACACCAAGCAAGAGTCAGCAACACATAAAAGAAACTGGTGGGTGTAGATAGCTGGCCGCTGCGTTGCTGGAGTTATCATAGTGAAAGAATTATTTTTGCCATGTGCAAAAAAAGTTTACTTTAAAATAGAGTCGACAAATGTGATTTCAAGCCGTTGGAGCACTGAGGAGTCGTACTGCCCCACAGGAGAACCGACTGTAATCCAAACCTGCGTCACCTACTCCATTTGATCTCACGCAGCAGTGTCTGGCCCTCGGGGCAGAACTCCGAGTGGCCAAAGAACCCCAAGCAGAGGCAAAATCTCAGTGGGAGGGAGGGTCACTCAGGGCTGCCCTGGATAGGGAAGTGAGCCCAGAGGCAGCTGCGAGGCTCCTGCTCACAGCTCACATCACCCAGGCCAAGTGGACAGACTGTGGACACAGGGGGAGATGGGCATCACCCAGGGTGGGCAGCGAGCAGAGGAGGAGGGACATTGCCAGGCGTGGACAGGACATAAGAGGAGGTGGGCATCACCCAGGGTGGATGGTGGACAGAGGAAGGGAACATCACCCAGAGCCCAGCACCTGGCTCCTTTTGTGCAGTCTACACCTTGGTGCCTGGACATGGGCTCTGTGAGAACAAACTGGGGGACAAGTCAAGTCTTACTTAAAGCACACTCAAGCAAAGGTGCCTGGAGAGAGCGCCAACAGCCTCCTGTTCTTGACATGCTGGAGCACCCTGCTGTCACTGACCCTGAGGAGCCTTGGACCACGGGAGGATGTCCTGCCCCCACGCCTGCAGCCTGTCTCCTTGTGGCAATTCTCTCCTGAGAACCAATCCCAACTCCTGGCACAGAGAGGAGAGACCAGGCTGAACTGCAGGTGGGAGTCCTCTAGGGTGGGACGTTCGGTGTTAGGTCTCTGGTGAGGGCAAAGTCCACTTTTTGAATTAAAGTGTCTGAATTCAAATTTGCATAAATAAGCTGATGTCATCCCAGATTCCTAAGAGAAACTGGGCCTGCTTCCCCAGTGCAGCTGCGGCTCCTGCTGGGGCTGAGGGTGCTTCCCACCCCTGCTCTCCGGCACCCCCAGAGGAGCCTGGAGACAGGGGGTCCTGCGGCGGCCCGGCCACGCGGAACTGGAGGAGGAAGCCGCAGGCTGCCCTCCGGCTCCCTGGCACACCCGGGGCAGGGCATGGCGGGGCTGCTCCCTTGGGGTGTGAGAGGAGCTCCCGGGCAGGCACACTGAGGGCTGGGCCAGTCCTGCCACTGCCCTGGGGGTGTCCAGGAAGGAAGCCAGGAGCTGGCCCCACTGTGGCATGGGGTGGGGGAGCCACTCCCTTGGGCCCTCCAGGGAGGACACAGGGCCACCAGGGTGAGACCTCAGGGCGGGTGCAGGGAGGCGGAGCCCTGGGACGCTCCAAGCCGGTGCAGGTCGGGCAGAATGCAGCTCCGGTGCCTCCCCATGCACCCTGGCGCGGAGAAGCAGGCCGGGGGCCTGGCTCAGAGGCCGAGCATCACTGTGGGTCCTCAGCAAAGCCAGAGGCCGCACAGCAGAGGTCCACCCCCACCTTCCAGGGCCGTGGCGAAGCACAGGCTTCTGCCTCCGGAGCTGGGCACTGCAAGGTGGCTTCAGCCGCTGTTTGTGGTTGTCCGTTGTCTCAGCCCCGGGAACCCGAGACAGACGCGTTGCCTGAAGTGCAACGCTGCGGTTAGCAGGGCAGCCGGGCCACCCTGCCGCCCAGGAGGGAAGTCCCACAGCAGAGGACACAGCCGACCTAGGGGGCCCAAGGCAGCCCCTGGGCGGAGCGGGGTGATGGAGACTTGGCCACAGAGGGCAGCTGCAGGCTGGCTGGAGGCCCGGCCTGAAGAGTGGCTCCTGCCAGGACCCAGGCTGACGCCAACCAGGAGGGAGAGAGACCGCCTCTGGCCGTGGAGCAGGCATCTTGGCAGGCCTGCAGGAC